GAAGCCATGAAAGAACCAGCGACAGGCTGAGATTATTTGGTAGTGCAGCTCTTCTCTAACCCTCGTCCTGCTGCTTCCTTTGTAGATGATGTGTCTGCTGACAGCAGCGCTGAGTTTCCAGACCGGGCATCCATGATGGAGGTGCGTCTGCAGGCACAGGAGGACGAGATCACACTCCTAAAATCCTCTCTGGCTGATGCCCTGCGCAGGCTGCGCATCCACGATCAGGTCCTACAGTTGCTGAAGCAGCAGGTGATAGCAGGTGGGTGATGTTAACTGAAAACTAAAACTAGTGTGGCTCATCCGTCTTCGTTCATATAAGAATGATCAGACTTGCAGAGTGCAGCTGCACACTCAGGAGAAACTAATAATCCACTTTGATCTACTCAGTGAACCCGAGTGCTGCACGGCTGCTAAGCCAAGCATGCTGCTCAGATTGTTCCAGCAGCAGCAGGAAGTTGTCCTCCAGCTCAGCCAGCGATGGGACCCGGCACCCTGCTACGAGGTACTACGCCTTCCAGCCAAGAGCTTAAAAGCTCAGGAAGAACGACGAGGGGCCGTTGTGTTGTATTAGACTGTCGTTGTGTTCATATGTCTGTGTGAACTGCCTGTATGACTGCTTTGTGTTGTTCTCAACCTTTGAACTCTCCAGCCAACTGTCAGACACCACTGTGACCGATGCAAACAGCCAAAGAGGAAGCTCGGCATCCACGGACATCCAAACCGTTCCAGCAACAGTGGACAAGTCGACCCAGACAGAGTCGGCCCTGCCGGGCCAGGACTCGGGCCAGGACAGGGTCCCTCTCCACGGGCGAGTCCAGAGCCTGCAATTGGAAGATGCACTCGTGGAAGGTCCTTCTGTATCTGAGGGAAACCGGGCCAAACTCCACCGTGTCCCTGGTATGGAAGAGGAGGATGAGGAGGCAGAAGAAGATGAAGGAGGAGGAAGAGGGGAGCAGGAAAAGGAACTAACATGGACATCATCAGTTGAAGAGCCCATTCAGCCCACCACCATCAGAGGCCTGCAGAGGGAGGACCTCCAGGATGGAAGCTGCTCTCCGGAGGATCCAGGCTCAGCCTCGGCCTCATTCAAATCTTCAGACCAGAGCCTCAGCTCCCGCTCTGGACCTCTGTCTCCCATCCACGAAAGAGAGAAGGCTCTGTGCGTGATCCTGCCTCATTGCCGCGTTCTTTACAACCTCGATCATCTTTCCTTAATCGTTGATTGATTGCATGACTTTTAAGAAC